CCTGGCATCAGTGTCCCTATGTATTACAGTGTCAGTTTCCCCATGTCGCCCATTCCCCTAGTCTCCCAGTGTCTCAGTCTCCCCATGTCTCAGTGTGTCCCGTGTCACTAGGATACTAGGGGACACAGAGACATGGGGACACTAAGAGAGCCGGGGACACAGACATTTGGGGACACTGGGAGACATATGGGGACACAGACACTGGGATACATGGGGACACTGATACATTTGGGGACACTAAGACACTAGGGACACAGAGACATGGAAACAGACACTGGGAGACATGGGGACACAGACACTGGCTGGGAGGCATGGGGGCACTAGGGACACTGAAAGACATGGGGACACTGGCTGGGAGACGTGAACACTGGGAGACATGGGGACACATACACTGGGAGCCATGGGTACACTGAGAGACATGGAGACAATGTGTCCCTAGTGTCTCCGTGTCCCAATGTGTCTCCTAATTGTCAGTATGTCTCCCAGCCAGTGTCTCAGCGTCCCCAGCTCTCCCAGGGTCCCCTAGTGTCTCCCTGGGGCCTTTCCCCTCATTCCTCACTTCCCTGAGCTGAAGTCTGTCTCTGCAGGCTGGGAGCTGCGGTCTGAACTATCTGTGCTGTGTAGCTCCTTCCCTGCGGATCAGTCAGTAGATAGAGGCAGGGAGGGTGTGATGAGACCAATCTCGCCACTGTGCATTGGAGGAGCCTGGTTGCCTGCCTGCTGCCTTTTGACTATGGACCGGCATTTAAATACCCTATTTTCCTATGCAGAAAGGTCTATTCATGTTTTCTGCCCTGGCGTTCGGTAGATTCTCGGATTTACTGAATGAACTCATATAACCCAGATAGCTATGCCATGGAGCCTATTAATAAAAGACTTTGGCTCCATGGCAATTGAACTGTATGTGTTTGTGGTCTGAGCGCCATTCAGTATTGTGCGCTCAGACCTAAGCTATCTGGGAATATGTTGCATGTCTGTATTTTATGTCATAAATGTAACCTTGTGTATTTTATTGTATTTTACTGTCTTTTTGCTGCCATGTGTTCAATGGAGTTTTGCCTCTGTCTTTGGAGATAATTTGATTACTTCCCAATTATCTCCAGGATAGAAGACTCTGTGGAACTGGTTTTGGGCAGAAAAGCCATGCTTCCTGTGGTCACAAAGGACTACGATCTATCTTTTGAACCACTGGACCAATTTGTATGATTTTGACGTATGTTTGTATTTGGAGTATGCTGATTCTGAAAATGTATTTTATGTGAATGTGATTCATACTTTTCAAGTTATGAATAATGTGGAAAATTTGTATTTCTCTGCTTGTGCTAATTAAATTACCCATTGTGTAAGTTAATTGTATCACAGGCAGAGGGGAGGATTTTGTGTGGGAGTGTCTGAATGTATTGTATGTGTTTATTGGTTGTGTTCCAAAACCCTGTGGGTGGTACTAATGTGTAAGAATGTGTACATAAGCACAATGAACCCACAGCTCTGACTGTTCACTGCTTGACCCTCAACACGGAGCTTTGTCTCGCAGCACTAGGCAGCCTCAAATACCGGCTGTGCTGGTAAAATACCAGTCAGGTGGCAAATCTAAGAGTAGTGCGTTTATAATTTTTTTTTTTTTAAATATATATATATATATATATATATATATTTTTTTTTTTTAAATGGGCCTATTCCATGGGCCTGGAGCTGCAGCTCCATCAGCCTCTATGTTAATCCAGCCTTGCATACATATTAACACACACTGCCTCCCCATACACACACATACTGTGTAGCGGATGGCACTGGGCTGTCCTGCAAATATCTTGTGAATAACTGCATTCGTGTGATCTGCTGGTTTTCTATGTGTTTAAAAGAACTGTATTCCTCTGATTGTTCGGTAGTTTTATTCCCTTAGTTCATTCGAATGAAACTACCGAACAACCAGACCCCCCCTGTGTGAAGTGTGTCCTCAATTACCCGTTGCAACATTGTTGCGAACGGGTAATTGCCTAGTAAGTAGCCGTCCTTTGTTCTCGGGGGTGGCCGCCATTCGACAAACGAACACGTGGCCATTTTAAAACTCCCGAACAGCTGTGTTTTGCCGTCGAGTGTCTGGAACTCAAATCGGACACTCGAGTAGGCGAACACCGCTGAGACCTCCACAAGCCCGGTCCGTTCGGTTCCTAACTACCGAACAACCCCTCGTTCGGTAGATAGAAAGAACCGAACGAGGGGATTCAGGCGAACCCTCCCTAGCCTTTATAGCTAGAGGCTTTCGTGTATTTTATTCCCTTATGCCAGGATGACCGCAGGGCCCATTCGCATGGAACCTTATTCGGCTATCTCAGTTAGTGCGGTCGGTCATTTTATTCCCTCCATACATTTCCCGAACCCCTGGTCTGATCTGGGTGATTTTTGGATATGTTGTTCACCCAGATCAGGGGTATCCGGGGATGTAGGATTTAAAGAGGTACCCCTACGTTTAGGGGTACATCCAGAAACGGGGGAATTACTGTACTGGATAAGGGGATTATGATGTTGGCTGAGGGGAGGAGATGTGTGGGAGGTTACCAGGAAAGGATTGGCTACTGTAATAATGAGTGTAAATCCCTCCCTTGCATGGGAGCATGCTTTAAAAGGAGACTGTGGATTAAAGCTTTCTGTTCTGCTCCTGAAACTGTATGTCGTCCAGTTATTGGGATTGCTGTGGGGATATTGCTGTTATTTTACCTGCTGGAAACCTTGCCTGTGGATTTATTATTTACTTGTTCCTGAGCCTCACTTGGACTATAAGCGGAGATATCCTGGGGAATATTGCATCTCCGCTACATACTGGCTCCCATAAACTACACACATACACACACACACACACTCATATGCCTCCACCCCGCACACACATATTATTGCCCTATTCCCTACTACAGCATTTATCCTGGCAGATCCCAGGTTAGTTGTCAAACTGTTCTTAAACAGTTTGACTGCTTATTCTAATGGAACAAATGGAACCATAACCACTACAGAGATCTGTATGTATGTATGTATGTCTGTGTGTATCTGTATGGGTGTCTGTAAGTGGTGTGTACCTGTATGTGTTCATGTGTATGTCTGTTTGTCAGTATGAATCTGTATATGTGCATGTCTGCAAGTGTGTGTATCTGTAGGTATGTCTGTGTGCAGTGGCGTACACACAATCCATGGGGCCTCGTGCGAAACTGATCCATGCCCACCCCCCCAATAGACACATACAAACAGACATACATACAAACACACAGAGACATCTACATACACATACATACAAACACACACACAAAACATATACATACAAAGAAGCATACAGACATACAGACATCAAATAAGGTGGGAATAAAGAGGAGCTGGAGGAGAGAGTAGAGTGCTGCCCTTTAGGAGAGAGCGAGAGACAGGTATGTAAGGTAGAGGTTACTCTGGGAGGCCATAAGCTTTCCTAAAGAGATGGGTTTTAAGGCACTTCTTAAAGGATTGAAGACTAGGGGAGAGTCTTATGGCGGTAGGCTATAGGAAGGGAGCCGCCCGCGAGAAGTCCTGCAAGCGTGAGTTGGCCGTACGGGTGTGAGCAGCGGACAGGAGAAGGTCACGGGCAGAGCGTAGAGACCGAGAAGGGGCATACCTAGGGATCTGAGAAGAGATAAAAGAGGGGCTAGAATTGTTCAGTGCTGTATATGTATGGGTTAGCACTTTGAATTGACTCTTATAGGATACAGGGAACAAATGTAAGGACTGGCAGAGGGTTGAGGTGTGAGAGGACCGACTAGAGAGGAAAATCAGTCTAGCTGCAATTCATTACAGACTGTAGAGGGGCTATACGGCTTTTGGGAATTAGCGCATTAATGTCTGTATTATGATTTAACGCATTAATTTCTGTATTATGAAATGAATGAACGCATTAATTTCTGTATTATGAAATGAATGAACACATTAATTTCTGTGTTACGAATGAACGCATTAATGTCTGTTTTACGAAATGAATGAACGCATTACTGTATTATGATTTAACGCATTAATGTCTGTATTACGAATGAACGCATTAATTTCTGTATTATGAAATGAATGAACGCATTAATGTCCGTATTAGGAATTAACGCATTAATGTCCGTATTAGGAATTAACGCATTAATGTCCGTATTAGGAATTAACGCATTAATGTCCGTATTAGGAATTAACGCATTAATGTCCGTATTAGGATTTAACGCATTAATGTCCGTATTAGGAATTAA